CCCCCTCCTCCTCCTCCTCCTCCTCCTCCCAAATCCGCTTGCTGAAAATTACAGGCTGGTTCTCTAGCTGTAAGGAAACCAAAATAAGTGCAGCTGAAAGACCCGAGTCTCACTCCTGACACTTCCTGCAGACTTTTCTGTTTTCTTCCTGTTTCCTCCGTCTTGAAATTTGCATCACTGGCAGGGATCTCTCCATTGCTACTTGAATAATGTGCCCAAGCTTATTTTCATAAGTCACACTTTGTGTGAAATGTTGATGCAGTTGCAGCCCCCTCTCCCCCTCCCCCCCCCCGGGCAAAGTAGAGAGAGATGCTGGGAAGGGGGCTTTTGTCTTTGACACAAAAACCTTTTGGGCACCGCCTGCAGTGTCTTCAAGCGGGGCCGATGCTCTGAAGCACCTTGACAGGAGGAGTAAGAAGAAACCATTTCAAGAGCAAGGAACTCAGTATATGTAACTGGCCCATTGCTTTACTATTATTATTTTCTTTTGTAAAGGCTTCTGGAGAAAAGGGGCGTGCAAACACTTGCGAATGAATGAATGAAGCAAGCAAACCCCTCCCACCCACCCCAGAAAATTCAACCCACCTCCCTGAAAGTACCAAACTGTGCTTGATCCACTGGTTTCATTTTAAAAATGGACGTGCTGCTGCTGAAGTCCAGGGCACTCTTCTCTGTTGGGCCAAAAAACAGGCGGTTCCCTCGCAAGCATGAAGCAGAGGGACATTTGCTTTATGCTTGGGAGGGGCTGGGCCCATGACTGAGAGACCCGATTCCTCACCTCAGGTAGCTGGGCAGAGGGTCTCCCCCGCGCTGGCACCTGGCAGCCGCGGCATCCCTGCAATCTGCTCTCCTTCCTTCTTGCTCTGCTCTGCAGCAGGTGCGCCACCCCCAGCGCCTTGTGCCCGCAGATCCTGCCCTCAAGGTTCTAGTCCATGTGAAGGCTGCCATCTCTCATAACCTCCTCCGCGCTTAGAAAAAGTCCCCTGGAGCCGTTTCATAGTTTATGGGTGGCTTTTGTGGCAGCTGCCTTGGGTGGCCCGGGGACGGCAGGTTCTGAGTGCCACGAGACTGAAAATGCAATGGCTGCTCTCTGCCCCCCAGTTAGGTCAACACGTGGCAAAGATGGAATTCCTTTACATCTCTGTGGGCTCTCGCTCTGCCACTGAGGAACGCAGTATAGGTTTGTAGCTTTTTTTTTTGGCACATGTGGAGGAAGTGGTAGCTAAGCAAGACTTGACCTTGTTAAGAATGTCTTGGTGGCATTTGGGACCCTGAAAACTTTATCTGCTACGACGGGTTGCAGCCAACAAGAAGTGCGATTTGCCCTTTCCTCCCCTGCAATGCTTCCAGTGGGGAAATTCATCCTGAGGCAGGGCATTGTCTAGACCAGTGTTTCTCAACCTTGGCAACTTGAAGATGTCTGGACTTCAACGCCCAGAATTCCCCAGCCAGCATGGCTGGCTGAGGAATTCTGGGAGTTGAAGTCCAGACATCTTTCAGTTGCCAAGGTTGAGAAACACTGGTCTAGAGGGAAGGGCAACGGGCACCAGTGCCTGGGAAAGCCACAATGGTGCCAGCTGCATCGTGACATCATCAGGCAATTACCTGCACCATCTGCATGATGATATGACCACACCTGTGACGTCACTTCCCCCCCTCCAAACCCACGGGCCTCAGTGAGAGTGCCCTCTCTCTGGACCCCACAGGGGCAGAAATACTTATTTTAGAGCATTTTCCACCCTATCTTGTCTGTCTAGCTTCTTATCTGTTTATTTAACTTACAGGCCACCCAATTCCTAAACAATTCTGGGCAACTTACAGCCGAAAAGCCAATGCATTAAAAGAAATCCAGCCACTCAGGGGAGAGAGAGAAGCCAAAACATGGGGGATCAAAATAAAACCCAGTGAAACGCTCAAGGGTTAGGGTCTCCCATAATTTCCTGAATGGCGTGAGGTATTATATAAATGCTGCGCCACGCTGAAAGTTCTTCAGATTTTACTTTGCAAGTAAACTAATCAAAACAACCCTCCAGACTGTAAAGTGCGAAATGAAAAGCAAAGGTACAAAA